TCTAACTAACAGGACTTAAGGGAATTGTTATTTCCCAAGACTGATCATGAACTCTCCCCTTGAAGAGGAGTGGGAAAGAACAAATAGGACTCAAAAAAGGTGACATCTCTAGAGACAAACATTTTCTTTCTCACAAGGCAGAAACATTGATACCCTTTTTGAGTAGGGAGTATCCAACAAAGACACATCTAAGGGTCCTAGGATCTAGCTTTCCTTTATTATGGGACTAAATGTGAACAAAGGCAGTGCAGCCAAACACTTTTAACGGAAGAGAGTTTAGGGTCATATATGTAGGAAATGTTTGAAGAAAAGTTTCAAGGTGTATGAAAATTAAGAATCCTAGTGGGTAACCTATTTATGAGATATGTGGCAGTTAAAACTGCTTGACCCCAAAAAGATTTAGGTACATTCATGGTAAACATTAAGGCTCGGTCAACCTCTAAGAAATGTCTATTCTTTCTTTCAGCTATTTCATTCTACTATAGGGTATCAACGCAAGACCGTTGATGTATAATCCCATGACTTAATAGACAGTTTCCTAGGATAGAATGAAAATATTCCCTACCATTATTTGTCCGTAGGACCTGAATTTGTTCTTTAAACTGAGTTTTAGCCATGGAATGAAAGGTTTGGAAAATTTGACCTGCTTCAATTTGTTGTTCATTTGATACACCCAACATAGTTTAGTGTGGTCATCAATGAAAGTGATAAACCACTTGCACCCTACAATGTTTGTAACCGTAGATGGTCCCCAAATGTCACTATGAATTATTGAAAAAGGCTTAGAACTCTTATATTGATGTGCTGGGTAAATTAACCTGGTGTGTTTTGCAAGTTGACAGATTTCACATTCAAATGAAGATAAGCTTTTATTTCTGAACAATACTGGAAACAACTTTTGCAAATAAGAGAAACTAGGATGGCCTAATCTACGATACCATACATTATTTCAAAATCAGCAAAACTAGAGGTAGCATTACACCTAGATACTAGAACTTTGTTATTCTTGGTAGCTATTTCATCAAAGTAGTAGAGTCCCACTTTTTCTCTAGCATTGCCAATCATCCTCCCCAAGAGTAAGTCTTGAAATTCACAGCAGGTAGATGAAAATTTAGCTACACATTTTAGATCTTTAGTCAACTTGCTAATAGATAGCATTTGCAAGTCAAACTAGGCACATGGAGAACAAATCTAGAGAAAGGTTTCTGGATAGTTTTATTGTGCCTTTACCAGCTACATTTGCAATGGAACCATCAGCAGTTTTTACCCTTAGATTGCCATAGCATGGGCTGTAGGATACAAAGACACACGAATTACTTGACATATAGTCCGAAGCCCCTGAATCTATAACCCATGGTTTGTTTGTTCCTGGGATGGTATGTAGGGCTGTACGGGAATTACCAGTCTCGGCAAATGAGCATGATTGGCCAAATAATTCTTGCGGATGTTCCAATTGCTCTCTACTGAATGGTACAGATGGCTGATCTTCAGATTTCTTGACTGCATTTTCAACTCCAACATGAAACCCTTTACTACTTGGTTTGTTAGGCTTCCAATTTGATGGCCTGCCATGTAATTTGTAGCATATTGGCTTAGTATGCCCCAATTTTATGACAGTATTCACACCAGATTTTTCCTCCTTTTTTTCCTTCTTTGATCTCCAATAGAACTCTCCCAACCCTTAGAAGCTAGGGCTGAAGCTCCCGATTCAGGTTGTAGATTTGAGATGCTAGTTGATTCTCCCATCATCACTTTCCTCCTACTTTCCTCACTCCTTACTTTTGCAAATACTTCTCAGATAAAGGGTAAGGGTTCTTTGTCCAAAACTCTCCCTCTCACTTCATCTAATTCCTTATTCAGTCTAGCAAGGAATTCAAATACTCTTTCTTTCTCCAACATTTTTGTGTATTTGACATTATCCTGAGTACAACTCCAATCTGTCTCCACAAACAAATCTTGCCACAGTTGAGCCAATGTACTATAATACTGGGTAACAAACATATTATACTGTTTGGTCTCTCTCAATCGTGACTTTAACTCAAAAATCTGCGCTCTTAGGCACTTTCAACCAACTCAACCAAACAAAACAAAGAACTTACCAACACAACCAACTCAACCAGACGCAGATCAATTAATAGGAGGAATCTGTGTATAGAATTGAATATTGTATTGCTAAGTTGGTAAAGGAATGCTTAAACAACTTAATCAAGAACAAGAAAAGTAAACAACAAGGAATTGAAAGATAACCTAGCAATTCGAGGAGCCAAGGACCTCCATTTCCAAATTTTCCACTAAACTATTCTCTGCCTTTTTACAAGCCATAATCCTAGATTTATACCCAAATAACATCATGCACATTCCCTTGACATTGTCACGTGGCTAACAAACTTTCCCACTTGCAACCCCGCTTACAAAATCCCACACTACTTAGCCCTTTTATTCTTTTTGTAAATATGAGTTGGGGTCTCATCATGACCCTCCCCTTGAAGAATCACCTTGTCCTCAAGGTGGAAAGATGGAAAATTCTTACCTAACACAACATCACTTCTCCACTCCTTCACCGCTCTCTTCTTCTTTACCCAGCTCTTCCTCATCTTCTGTCATTTGCCAGCAAGGGGTTGTTCACAATTGAGGGAGGTTGGGATCGATCGTTCGAAGCGCTTCCGAGCTTGTACTCTGGTGACTGGCGGTCGGCGCCAAGCTCCCCTGCCTCTTCTCCTATGATCGACGCTCCGACGAGAGGTTGACGGAGTGTTGCTGCTGATCGATGAAGGGATATGTCTTGGGGCTATAGAAAGAAAGATTGTGTTGTATTTGAGCCCTAGATTCAATTTCTCCTAATCCAATAACCTGACCCAACCCATACATATCTGACCCAAGTCCACTTCTAGGTCCATTCTCAAATTGCTCAAGCCCACACTCAACTATATTTGTTATTCCTTGTTTACCTAGCCCAACTGAAATAATTCTTCTATTAAACCCATTCAACCTAACTGTTTTACAGCTCTATTAAGCCCACCCTTCATTTCTTCTAAAGCCCAATTCTTTTGCTCTATTTTCTGAGCTAACTCAATAAGTTGTATCAATGAATTGGGATGGCCCAATCTCACCTCAGCCTTAATATCTTGTTTGAGCCCATTGATAAAAACAGCCCACAATATATCTTCTCTTTCTTCACGCAAAGGTGCTAACAAAGCTTCTAATCTCCAGCGATATTCCTCCACTGTGCCAGTCTATCGGATTCCCATCAAAGCTTCATAAGGCCCTCCCTCCTGAGACCCACTAAACCGGTGAAGTAATGCCAGTTTCAAAGTGGCCCAAGGAGTCATCGAAGCTCTCACTTCCATCCACTAGAACCAATTTATCGCATCACCCTCCATACAAATTGTCACCATTGCCAGCGTTTCATTTTCGGCAACTCTGTACACATTAAAATACCCTTCTATCCTAAACAACCAACCATACGAATCCTCCCTTAAAAAGATCGACATCTCCAACTTTTGGCCCCCAAACTCAGGTCGTGTTCTCTCTGTGTTCATGGTTTCGTCATTTGTCCCTTCTAGGTTTGGCCCTTGGTCCACTGGAATCTCTATCGAACCATCTCTCTCTACTTTCCTGGCTTTCTCCTCATCTTTACACCTCATCCAGGCTAGCATTTCCCTTAAACACTCTCTAATTGTTCCCAAATCTTCTTTCACTGTACTCATTTTATTCTTTAAGCTATCTAGTCTATTCTCCATTCTAGCGTCTACCATTCCCTAACCTTGGCTCTGATACCAATTGATAGGAACCTGGGCACTTTCAACCAACTCAACCAAACAAAGCAAAGAACTTACCAACACAACCAACTCAACCAAACACAGATCAATTAATAGGAGGAATCAGTGCATAGAATTGAATATTGTATTGCAGAATTGTTAAAGGAATGCTTAAACAACCTGATCAAGAACAAGAAAAGTAAACAACAAGGAATTGAAAGATAACCTAGCAATTCAAGGAGCTAGGGACCTCCATTTCCAAATTTTCCACTAAAATATTCTCTGCCTTTTTACAGGCCATAATCCTAGATTTATACCCAAATAACATCACACACATTCCCTTGACATTGCCTTGTGGCTAACAAACTTTCCTACTTGCAACCCCACTTGCAATCCCACACTACTTAGCCCTTTTATTCTTTTTGTAAATATGAGTAGGTCTCATCAGTTTCCCATGTCTGAGTACATTTCTTTAGCCATATCCCAAATATCCTTTGCAGTAGGAAGAAATAAGAATAGTCGGCCAATCTCCTCCTCCATGGAATTAATCAACCAGGCCATTACAGTACTATTCTCAGCATCCTAACTCTAGTAAGCCGGGTCATCTTCTTGTGGAGTTTTAACAGATCCAGTCGAGTAGCCCAACCTGCCTCTTCCCCTGATCATCAATTTCATAGCTTGAGACCATGTTATGTAGTTTTTTCCATTCAACTTGTGGACACTGATCTGGATAGAGTTATGGTCAATGTTACTGTGACCATTTAATAGAGGTTGACCTCTCGTTGGTTCAATTCCCTGACTTGAAGATGTTTCAGCCATTGGATCAATTGGAGGGCTTCGGCTTCTGCCTTGCCTTTCGCTAGTCATGGCAGTTTTCACCATTATTTTTTTTGGCCAGATGAACTTGGCTCTGATACCATGAAATGAGGACTATATTCCCCAATAATTTTATTTCATATACTATAATCTCTAGTTATATAGAGAACCTAGACTGTTCAAATAACTCTTAGTCTAGGATTATCTTTTTATTTAAATTTAATAAACTAGATAAAGTCAAGATAACTCCTACATTGAAAACATCCTAATCCTAGAATTCCTACATATTTGCATTTGTAATATGCCCAAATGCTTGTTATTGCTCCACTTACAACCTGCAGATGATGATCAATTTGTTATTGCAGAGCTGGTCGCTATGAAGTGGATGGGTACGTTTATAATGCAGCTGAGGAGCCTAAAATATTGATGACTGGGAAGTGGAATGAGTCTATGAGTTATCAACCGTGTGACTTGGATGGGGAACCTCTTCCAGGCACAGAAATGAAAGAGGTTGCTTTCATTCCACTGTTGATCTTATCATATATTTTTATGAAACTCTTTTCTCAGTTTTGTTTTATGTGGAATATGAGCATACAATAGTTTCTTTAATCGGTTAGTTTTGATTTTGAAATTGATGAATTAGTTTATTAGTTCCTGGTATCACGCATTTAGTTGTATTTTTTGAATAGTACTAGTCACACTTATCTGTATTTTTTTTTTTTTACTATTTATGGTAACAAGTTGACTCTTATTTATGTGGAAAACTTTGGAGATGCGGCTAGCCCATCTTGCATGTCTTCAGTACTCTGAGTCTGGCATTATTTCGTTCATGCAGAAACATTGTCTTGGTTTGGTTGTCATGCTTGCTAACATGAAAGATCTAAAGTGTTTATTCCATACACTTCTCTTCCCATTGCTCACATGCATTATTACGCTTCCCTGTATGAATGATTAGAGAAGTTTGTGATTTGGTTGCAAAATGCAGTATGTCTTTGAGACAGCTTTCTGATGGCATACATACGTTGTGTTTGCCGTCCTGTGTTGCTGAATTGTGAACTAGTAACAAATTTGTGACCCGTTCTATTGCTCATTTGCAACTTCTTGTTTCTCTTGTCCAGGTTTGGCATGTTGCCGATGTTCCTCAGAATGACAAATATCAATACACATGTTTTGCACATAAAATAAACAGCTTTGACACAGCTCCTAAGAAGTTGTTAGCATCAGATTCTCGTCTGCGTCCTGATCGATATGCACTTGAGAAGGGTGATATGTCCAAAGCTGGTGCCGAAAAGAGCAGGTTTCTCCCTCTAACTCACATGCACTAACATTTGTCTAAATGGATAAAGAACATGACAGGGTTTACTAACCGTGCCTTACTGGCTGTGGATTATGTTACAGTTATATTGCTCACATGATTCTACATTTTTTTTTTCAGCATAGGAGATTTGTTAGTGAAACATAATAATGAGCTCTTTTTGGTTATACTTTTTGAGTTAGAAGATTTTTAAAGACTTCCATTTCATCATCTCTGTCATGACTCTGGTAAGCTGACAATGGAAGTCAAAGAAGTTTATGAAACTTTCTGTTTATTTTTCCCTTCTAATGTGTGATCTGGAGAAAAGAAAAAAAATAGATACTCCCATGTGCTATATACCTTCCCCAACAATTTTGTGAAACCAAAATGTGGAAGAGTAAAATCAACAGTTATGATTTGAATTCTTCAAATTTATGTTATTTCAAATAGCTTTCCTTCATAGGTTTTCTCTTTTTCTTTTTTTCCCCCTATTCTATCAGTTTGGAGGAGAGGCAGAGAGCTGAAAAGAGAACCAGAGAGGCCAAGGGGCATCAATTTACACCAAGATGGTTTGACTTGACTGAGGAAGTTACATCTACACCTTGGGGTGACTTGGAAATCTACCGATTCAATGGAAAATATTCTGAACATCGGGCTGCTGTAGAGAGTTCAGGTAGCGTTGATGAGATTGAAGTTAAATCAATTGAATTTAACCCGTGGCAGTATGGTAATTTTTCTGCAGAATGAGGTATTCATGTTTGATAAAAAATGCCAATGTTTTCATATATGCTTGTTGGATTCTGCAGTTGATAGAACTTTTTTGGTGTCATGTGGAAGCAACATGTTTGTTTGCGTGTGTGCATTGTATCCATTTCTTAAATATATCTTAGTATAATTGATCCTAGGAAGTATGTTACTGTTTCATGATTCTTTTTCTTGTTTCTTCTACTTTTATTTTAGTTTTTTGGTTCCATCCTTACAATGAGCTCCATTTAGGGTCTTGTCGGATGTCTTTGCATTAACGATATCACTGGTGGTGAAGAAATAGTGTGGAGCAAAGAGTAGACAAGTTAAGAGTATTGCCATACATTTTGTATCCAAGTTTTTCACCCAGGTGATGTGTGAAGTGTCATTACTTTAGAGATACATCTTATAGACAACTTTGTAATTTAATACTAAAAACATTATATTACAAGGTCAATTAACTAATTATTGCGAGTACATCACAGATGAATCCAATAATCAATATCGAAATTTCAGGTTATGTGATGTTTCTTTATCAATTTTTTTAAAGGTCAATCTAGACAGCTTTCCTATATTAGCGAAGAAGAAAAATTTTAAGATACATTTTGAATTAAAATCTTAATACTATTAAAACAATCAACTGAAATCATAATACTATTAAATCATGAATTATAAAATAAGAAATTAAATCAATAATTCTTATAACATTATCTTTATTAAACTATAACCTCTTTATAATAGTAAATTTAATTGGTTCTAATATTATGATTATAAAGAGGTTTTAGTGTATATTAATAAGTGTTTTTCTGCAGCAATTTCGGCTGCTTATAGATAAGGAGGTGTTCAAACTCCAACCAGCCGCTGAGTAACGGGGGAGACATAATGTTCATACTTCAATTGATTTTCTATGGTCCGAGTCTCTCTCTGAGTGTAGTACTGTCTGCCAATTGGTATATCTAAGCAATAGTTTAATAACTAAGCAAGAAGCTACAAGTATTCAATAAAATAATATATAGCCCCTTCTGCTGCGTGCGTGTGAAACTGTGAATTCCGTCTCTCTATTCCAGGTGAATGTTTGGGTAGATGTCCCTGTTTCATGGGTATCAGAAGTTAAAAATAAAAAGATAGTCTTAATGAAAAAAAAAANTTAACGATATCACTGGTGGTGAAGAAATTGTGTGGAGCAAAGAGTAGACAAGTTAAGAGTATTGCCATACATTTTGTATCCAAGTTTTTCACCCAGGTGATGTGTGAAGTGTCATTACTTTAGAGATACATCGTATAGACAACTTTGTAATTTAATACTAAAAACATTATATTACAAGGTCATTTAACTAATTATTGCTAGTACATCACAGATGAATCCAACAATCAAATATCGAAATTTCAGGTTATGTGATGTTTCTTTATCAATTTTTTTAAAGGTCAATCTAGACAGCTTTCCTATATTAGCAAAGTAGAAAAATTTAAAGATACATTTTGAATTAAAATCCTAATATTATTAAAACAATGAATTGAAATTATAATACTATTAAATCATTAATTATAAAATAAGAAATCAAATCAATAATTTTTATAACATCATCTTTATTAAATTATAACCTCAAATTATAACCTCTTTATAACAATAAATTTAATTGGTTCTAAAATTATGATTATAAAGAGGTTTTACTGTATATTAATAAGTGTTTTTCTGTAGCAATTTCGATTACTTATAGATAAGGAGGTGTTCAAACTCCAACCAGCTGCTGAGTAACGGGGGAGACATAATGTTAATACTTCAATTGATTTTCTATGGTTCGAGTGTAGTGCTGTCTGCCAATTGGTATATCTAAGCAATAGTTTATGCTCCGTTTGGTTCACTTTTTTGCATTTTTTAGAAAAGTTTTTTGAAAAAAGTTAAAAAAAATTGAATTGGATTGGTATTACGATGTAGGATTTAGAAATTAATAAAAATATATCTTATGTTTGTTTATTTACTAAACACTCATATAATAAAACTTTGAAAGTTAACAAAAACACCTCTAATCCACTCATTGAATAATCACAGTTGGCCACCACAGTTGGAGGGTGGTCGGAGTGGTCGTATTGGTGCATAACTGGTTGGATCTTGTCGGTCGTGCGTCGATATGGCCTTTGAAGGCCATATTTGCTCGTCAACGACGGTCAAAGATATAGTCGTCGTTGACGTCTGGTTATAGACAAAGATCTGACCGTCAACAGCTAGATCGGCGTACTATTAGTTAGATTTAGCTGGTAGTGTGCCAGTATATTAGATTCTGGCCAACTTTCGGCAGTGGTGGTTGGAATCTGATATAATGTGAGTTTAGGGGTGTTTTGTAATTTTAAAAAAAATAGTTAGGGGTATTTAATTAAATTAACAAATTTAGAGGGTTTATAAAAAGTTGAATAATATTAAATAATATTGTGAGTTTCTGTAATTTTACTGTTTAACTTTTTTAGGAATACTAATAATAATATTCTCAAAAACAAAACAAACGGAACCTTAATATTTGTAATTTCGTTTACTAATATTAAAGAAGCTACAAGTATTCAATAAAATAATATATAGCCCCTTCTGCTGCGTGCGTGTGAAACTGTGAATTCCGTCTCTCTATTCCAGGTGAATGTTTGGGTAGATGTCCCTGTTTCATGGGTATTAGAAATTAAAATAAAAAGACAGTCTTAATGAAAAAAAATATATATATATACTGTGATTTTAACATCAAAGTGCCAAAACATAACAGCACGCTCTTGAAGAAAGTATAACCTCACTTTAGACTTCTAGTAAACTGGACACGTGTAAAAAAAATATTTTTACATTATCTAAAACGAGTTTTGATAATTTGGGAAAATAAATTAAATTTATTATTATTAAATGAATGTGTTTTTTGTTCCATGGAAAATAAAAAACTCAACCTATCGCTTTCTATTTCTAAGTTTGTCAAAATAAAATAGTTTGGGTGAAAATTGTCCCAGAGTTCCTTGGAAGATATTTTGTAATGTTAGCCTTTGGCAACCTACAACATAGTACTTCCCTTCTTCATTTCTAGTTGGCCCCATTTCATAACACAATCATATCACCGTTTGAGCTTTCTCCCAAATGATCTAATACCCATTCGTTGTCCTTGCAATAAATTTCTTGATGAGATTTTTGTTGGTCTAAAGTAGTAAAATATTCATCAATTGGAAACGGACAAACGCCCTGCTACCTATTTTCACTACATAATATACATCCAATCAACCAAAGACAAAGCCTCCCATTATTCTCTTTCTAAATAGAATGTGTTGGTTGGAATTTGGAAATTATCCATGAGGCCATGCTTTGTGCCAACCCATGAACCAACTTCATTATTTAGCATTTGAATTGAGTCAAATCTTAACAAATCCACCATTAAAAGTTGGTTTTAAGCAAAACTGTTATTGGAATTGGAACATGAATAGGAATACATTTTCTTTTCTTTTTTTGGGTAAAAATGTATTTTTATATGTTATAAAGATGAAAACAAAAATATTTTGTTAGGAAGTCTATGTTGAAAGATGCCGGGGAACATGCAAAGAAATTAATTTGAATACTGTGATGTGAGGCAACTCATTCTCATTGACTTTCCATTTAATGAATCAGTTTTAATTCTTGCTTTTACGTCAAGAAATCTCAGAGTTTCGTAAACTTCAAACTCTGTACCCTCTGATATATATATATTTATTTGTCCATACCTGCTCATCAAAGTTCAAAATGATGTTCTTTTTTAAGTCAACAATTTCATCAGCTTTATTGAAATTCACTGATTAATATGGTTGATGTGAAACTTTTAAAGTACGAAATTAAATATAGTAGTAATTTTGAGAAAACGGCAAATGACAAAGTGCCAGCTGGACCCAGTCCAGTCAGCATCCAACAAACGTGGCAAGCATGCGAAGTAGGCATCCCGGTTGAACTGCAAAATTTACCTCAACAAGACAAAAACCATATGGAGCTCTTTAATGGATTGCAGCCAGGCGGGTAGAAACTTGTTGAATAAAAATGCCGCCCTTTCCAGCTTTCTTGGGGAGAATAGAAATATTTTTTATTTTGTTTTGCCTTAAACAAATGCAATGGTTCCTTCTCTCTTTTCAGGGACAGCTTACAAGGCAAATTGGGAACACTGTAAACATTTTGTTGTAGGTGTTGCTCCCTTGATGTAAAGGATAATTATATATATTAAAAAATTACGCTGACAGATAATGAGAGAGAAGATGAGAAAACTTATGTAATAACTGTAGTACAAAGATGAGATGAGATGAGCTGTTAAAACTCTACATGCATGTTTACTCATTATCCATGCATGTGTCCTTTAAATACGTACGTACTTTAGCTTGGGAAATAATTATTTATTATGGATTATTTAGGAGATTGTGGTTTTAATTAGTTCAACCATCATGGACCAATAACATTGTTAGTTCATTTCGGTTGGTGCATCAAACTATTATTCACTCGTTTGGTAAAACACAAACTGTTCCATTTCCATAAATTATAAAATCAATTAATTATTCAGTGTTGTAATGTATGATCCCACTACTTGATCAGATCAGAATCCCAATTGGCGGCAGACCATAAATGGAATTTTATATAACCTTTATGCCTTTCATTATGTCAACTAGTTTTTGCTTTTGACAAGAACTTGCTTACTTTTATAACTTCTTTTCGTAGTTTATATGTATGAAGAACAAACACAAAGTATATTCACCGAAAACTATATAGGTATTTATAACGAGCCTTATGGTTTTTACCATTTGAAATATAATAATTCATTTTCATCATGATAAAATATAAAAAAAAATATATATATATTTATTCCAGAAATTGTATATTAATAAGTGTCGATGCGATAATTCAAATCAACTAGAAATACCCAACCAACCTTAGAGGGGATTGGGTAAGATGTACACATGATTACGGATAACCAGCACGATCGTTAAAGTGACGTAACAAAGTCAAGAACAAGAGAGATTTATAGTGGTTCAGTGGTTATAAAAACCAAACATGCATCCACTATCATGTTATTATTTTGAGGTGTTACCGGGTCTTCTGAGGTTACAAAGGAACGACTGCGAGATCAATGAATTTGGTTCTTGCAATATACTCTCTCTAAAAAGATCAAAGTATTTATCTCCTGAACTTTACTATCATTGAAATTGTCCTCTGAAACGTGGGTCGTGGGCTCCTTTTATACCCGTCTCATCTAACAGAGGTTGAGAGTGGATGTTATGAGATTTCTTATATGCATAATTCCTTTAATTTGGATCTGAGTTAGTATAAACCATACCTGTGGCAAATTGAATCATACTAATTACAGTTTAACCCGTACTTATGGTAATAGTCACCTTATGGTGAAAGTCAAGATCAAACAAGGTGACACTTGAGAGGATCTTGGTCGTTGGGCTTTGATGTACCTTAGGAACACACGACACAAATCTGACCGACTAAGAATTGGCATAATAATAAGCCATCCCATTCTTATTAGCCTTTGGGATTTACATATTTGTCTATGTGAAATGGATTAATTTACATAAAAAAAAAAAAAACCCAATCTTACACCATAACGATGAGTCATTTGAATTATTTTAGAAAACTAAAGTCGATCAATTGGAATTAAATTAAATGATCTAAAGTAATTAAACATCATTTGATTTGCCAACTATCAAGAATTGAATAAAGCAATTAATACCAAAATCACATTTTAACCAAAACTCTTATTCACCTAGTGAACATAACTGCCACTGACCAGAAGAATCGGCAATGGAATAGAACCTCTATGGTCGAGAGCCGTCCGATAAATCCCCAACTTCCCATTGTAAGATCAACCCACTTCTTTCGGATTTCCGCCACCTGTCTATCCATTAAATATACTTTTCTCTGCAATTTTTATTATTAAATAGAGAGACCAAAACTTTGACACCTTCTTCTTCTTTAGAACGAATAATAATCCGTCGTGGGGCCTACCACTGCTTTCGGACCCACCACAAACCTCACAAGTCACAACGCTTATCCCCGAACTTAACGTCGTTAACAATCTCAGCTCTTCACCATCCACGTACCACCAACGTCAACGTTATTACCGACGGAGATTCCTCCCACACCTCCGTCACTTGCTTGATAGCTCCACAAGCACGGGCCCACGGCCTACGGGCCACCTGCCTGCCCTCTCTCTCAATTTCAAAAAATTTTAAATCCACCACCCCATAAAATGTACTGATAATACACACCAAAAAGCCACCAATAGTAACCTTCCCTTTTGCCACGTCATAGTTCTCGTCTTTTACTGATCCTACGTGGCACGGATTTGAAGTTATAAAAAAAAAACATATGGCCACAAATATTTGCAACATCTAAAAAAGTTCGTGACGCACTTATCAGGATAACTGCTTCAATACGTACATAATTTTAAATGACCATAATACCCTCTCAAATTGGGTTTAAGACAAAAGCCCTTTACGGATCTGAGAATCTGAGCCATTTGATTATAGAAAGAGAAACGTAATTAAAATGTTGATGTTAGATCTGTTTGCCACGTGAGGCTTTGTAACTGCCTGTTTATAGTTGTTAAGTTGTGTACGATAACTTACGATGCTGGTCCTAAATTACACGTGCTGTAAATTATAACATAGTAAGTTGTACATTAAAATTTATTATCATTGAGGTCATATACTCATATCATGCGTTCTAATTCTAAAGCTGAAACTTTGAACCAGTAAAATTGATGACTTATCAATAAGTTAAATCCAATTTTGATTAAAATACCAAAATTTGGCCTTGATTTATACGTCCAAATATTTACTTTGTGAGTATGAACAAAATAGCTAATAACCTTCCTTCTTAATTAAATTTGATTTAGAATTATCACACAATAAGTGCAAATTAAAGTTATAGCTTCATAGTTGAATGATCTTCCAATATTTGGTTAAATACCTCATATTCAGTCACTTATGTATTAACTAAAATTATTAAGGCTCTGTTTAGTACATTCTTTAAAATACTATTCTAGTTTTTTCAATAAAATTAAACTCAAAAATACATTTGTTTTAATATTTTTAAAATCCTATTCTATTTTATTCATCTTGCCCATACATTAATGATTATTTTTCTCATAAAGATAATTTAATTTTACTCTTTTTTAAAACACTATTCTAAAAGTCATAAAATAATAAACCAAACAAAACCTAAAACTTTAAAGGTAAAGTAACTTCTTATATAATTTTGTCATGGTAGGGGGATATAACCCCATAAACATTATATGCACAATGTGCTTACGTGAATGATGTATAAAAGTATAAACCAAAATATTATTGTGATTTTTATACAAATAAATTTAAATTGGACATCCCTAGATCCTACCAAAAACCATGGTAGAAATAAAAATAATTACAAAAATTCGGTATCTTCGTGACCCAACGTTTTTCTCGATCAAGCAAATTACACACAACCACATGATCCACTATTTGGTCCACGTGTCAGAATCAGAGTTGATCTAAAACATTAGTGGGTCACTAAATTAGGAAGAACCGGTCTTTTGGCTGTTTAAAGCTACCGGCTAGAGAAGGTAAATCTATGGGAGTTTACCGATAGGTTCGGTGGCAAGGGGTCAATGGTATAAGAACTGGGGTTTAAGCAAAGAGTTGGGTGGGTTTCAGAGGGTTTTGGCGATCAGAAAGAGAGAGAAAGAGAGAATTTTCAAAAGGTAAATTAAAACGGGTAGAGTTTAAAACCCAAAAGGATTTGTTTGTTTCTTGGGAAAATATGGGATAGAGAATGAGAGAAAGTTTGGTGTGATTTTGGAAAGAAAAAGAAAAACAGAACAAAATAATTATTCTCTTACAGTTATCCCTCCGATCTTTACATTTCTGCCAATTTTGCTTTTTCTTCGGAAAAAAGTTCCAGCCTTGAACGATAATTCACTGTCAAGAGGTGAGAGTGTGAAATTGTTGTGTGTTTTCTTTGCTGAATTCCCCCTAAGTTTTTTTTTTTTTTTTTCCTTCTTTTTTACAAAAAATGAGGTTCCTCACCGGTTGACAGGTCTGTTTTGGGTGGCCACAAAGCACGGTAAATTTTTGTTTTTGAAAGAAAATTAGACCCCGACAGGGTGATTTGATTCCAAGGTTTTGATTTTTTGCTCTTACAATATGGGCAAGGAAATGGGTCCACTATTTGTAGCTTTTCATTTGAATTTTTTTTTTTTTTTTTAAATTTTAAAGAATTGATCAATTTTGTTGTTCTATTTTGATTTGGTTTGTTTGATTTTCAATTCGTATCTTTGATTGGTTCGATCTGTGATTTGGTGGATAATTCCGACATTTGAAAATATTCAATTATAAATATACGACCTTTCTTCAGTCTTCACAAATGAGCAAGTTTTATTTTTTAATGTATTTTTTCAGTTTTCCAAGATCGATTTTCGTTTAGGGTTTAAGATCTTTTAATTTAATTTATAATTATTTTCGGAATTGTCCAAAATTTTAACTATACGTGCCTGAATGATTGCATAAATTTTATGGCTGGATTCTCATTTTCAGGGTTTTGGTGCGGTTTAAGTCTATTTTTATATCTTAAACTTTTTTAATGGTTTTATGCACCTGATTAGGTGAGGCTGATGTCTGAAATTAAGCCCTTGGCTATCCATTTTGCGAAGTTATACATAATTTAAGTCAATTTTTTGTTTTTGTGGTTTGTCCGATTGATTATTTACTTGGGATTGGTCTGATTCTTGTTTCTAACATCAGATCATGTGGATCTGTTGTTAAAAACAGGAATTGGGGTTTCATATGGAATTTGCAATGGTAAAGTTACAAACTTTTAAAGCCTAATTGGGTAATTTTTCGTGTGACTAGTAATTGTGTGGTAGTTTTCAGGTCTATGTTGGGGAATTTGTGTTGGTATTGTTTGATTTCCATGGAATTGACATGATTCTCGAATTTTGAAAGCCCACCAATGCATGATAACTATTTCTTGGCTATGGTTCTGATTGTTTTATGCCTTTTTCTGATGTTTATTGGGAATTAAGGAGATTGGAAGTTTGGTCTCTTGATGATTATGTTTTATGGTTTTATTTTACCATTTGAAATTCTGCTGCTGGTTTTATTAGTTGCTATTATAGTTTGTTTGACCCAACTTTTATTCACATGTTAAAGAGGGAATTTCAGTTGGTAGTTTAAATATGTTATTAGTCATAGTTTGTGTAAGGCATCAAATTCATTGCTTACGGTCATTATTTTCAGGAAGCTTAAGGGACTTACAAGGAGGACGGTTTTTTTTTTTTTTGAATGGATTGAGATGCTTTGTTGATATGTTGTTCTTGGTGTGATCTCTGAGATATGGTGTTGCAGAAGAGGTTAGATTACGGATTTAATGGCTATCAGGTGCCCTATACGCCTAGAGCTACCAGATCAGCTAGGGTAATTTATTGATTTATACTTTCTTGGCTCAGTTTATATATATATGGATGTATTTCTGTTCTTTGTCCAGGATATTGATCTTTGACAATCACTTTTTGTTGGTTCTTTTAGAGGAGAAGTGCTTTCAAGAAGCGAGGTGAAGACAATCAAATGTGTGCATTTGACTTACTGGCCACCGTAGCTGGAAAGTTATTGCTTGATAAGCAAACTCCCCCTACTTCCAGTAATGCATCAACTGATGAAAATCAGTCTGCTGTTGTAAAAGATTCTGAAAACAAAGAAAAGCAGGATGAAAATAAACAATTGAAAGTAGAAACATCTGATCAAGGAAGCTGGGATAGGGGATTCTTTGTCTCTGAGCTTGTCTCACCAGCTCAAGATCAGAAATATAGTCTTAAGGAATCCCCGTGTAACCAGGAAGACGCCCCTTTGGGATTTGCCTCTGTAATTACAACTTCTGATTGCTCTGAGGGTTTTAGTGATCAGAAGTTGGTGAATGGCAAAGCCAAGAATGAAATGGGAATCTTAGCTAGCAAAGTAGAGGTAGGCCCCTCTGGGTACAGGGAGTATGGGGATTGTAAAATAGAGGTTGAAACTAAAAAATTTATAAAAGATGAGTTACATAAGACTGGGAAGGTGCAATTTGGTACTAAGGTTGATGGGTGCAGTTTAGATGATCCAGTGGTTTGGGATGGGAAACCTCCTGCAGTAGTTAGTTCAGATAGTAGTCCCAAGTTGCCTTCTTGCAGGGACCACAGTCCCCATAGTTCTTTTCCCGCAAGCCGGGATTATGTAAATGTATTTAGTAGAGATGATGACGAAAAATCTTCTGGGTGTACTCACCCAAACACCACAAAAAAATCCTTTAGGGCAGCTCCACGTATTGGAGACAGGAGAATAAGGAAAATATTGGCTTCTAAATATTGGAAAGTAGGCCCAAAATTGAAGGATGTAACACTTTCTAATACTGGTGAGTGTCTACTTTAAGATATTAAGTGGTGCTTTATTCTTTATTTACCACTTATTATGTGATCATTGCAGCATATTACATGGTTAGTCAATTCAATAACTTGTATAATAAAGGGGTTTTTTTATGCTTCAGATGGTGAACTGAGGACTGTTTACAGAACTAGGAATAGCTGTTACAAAAGCATAAGATCTGAAAGGAATTATCCTATCAAGAAAAGGAGACTTTTTAACTATAGCTCAGTATCAAATTATGATGGAGGAATAAGTGGTGAGGACATTTGTGTTTCACCAAAGAGGGTCATGAATGGAGATGTTTCTGGTTTGTGTTCGAAGATGCATGAAGGTATTTTCTACGTGTTATTTCACCTTTTTTTGTATTTGGTTTGGGGTTCATTGCTGTCTCAGTTTGTTAATAAGCTGTACATTGTTATAGCCGCTGGAGCATCATCTTCAGTAGCAGGTCCGCATACAACCTTCCGATCTAGGGATTCTCACGGTATGATAGCCTTTGATGGAATGACTCATTTATGCTTCTTTGACTTGATTGGTGTGTGATAATCAAATAGATTCTTACATGAAGGTGTCTTTCCTTTTACTCAGTGAAGCTTAGGATCAAGTCTTTCAGGGTGCCAGAGCTTTTTATTGAAATGCCGGAAACTGCAACTGTTGGTTCACTGAAGGTATATGGTTTTAGATTCTAATCATTATGGGCTGTGAAAATCCATATATGTATGCTGTAATTGATGCACTTAATCTACTTTATAATATAATATATGCGTGCTTTGATTTATTTTCAGCTTTTGTTGCATATTTCAATGTGATTGGTGTGTCTCATTGATTGTCCACTTTGTTTCTATCCGTTGTTTCTGATGATATGTGATTTTTTTTTTGTCAGAGGAGGGTTATGGAGGCAGTGAATGCCATACTTGGAGGTGGATTACGTGTTGGTGTGCTTCTTCAGGGGAAGAAGGTTAGAGATGACAACAAAACACTACTTCAGACTGGAATATCTCATGATAATCAACTTGATGCCTTGGGTTTTAGCCTGGAGCCCAACACTTCACAGACTCCCCCAACTCTGTGTTCTGGAGATTATCCATTTATGCTTTCTTGTGATACACCTGAGCCTCTTACCAGGTAATGGGAAACTGTACCTTTTTAAAACTTCATTTCATTATCATAGTTAGTTGTGTAAATAAATTTTCAGATAAATTGATTTCTCTCTGGTGGATTCTTTTCTGGTGTGGAAATGAAATGAGAAACAAATTAATTTAAATCAATAAATAATGAACTTGTATTTTCTAGAAAGAGTATACATGTTTTGCTGATGCCTAAGTACTGTTTTTTGCCTTTATATGAAAATGATGCCCTGTAATTTTACATGATACAAAGGTACTCTGCTGTAAACTTTTGTGACAGTGATACTTGATTTTATGTGTTAACATTCCTACTCTTTTTTGTCCTTGTTTCTATTAGTAGGTGGGTAAAATGTGACTGAGAGAAGAATTTCTTTTTATCAGGTATACATCCACTTCAGGTATCATTCAGCAGGGCACTTGCGATGTTGCACCCGAGCTGCATGTGACTAACATAAGCAACTTCATTGAAAGTGATCATGATTCAGCACCCTCTCCTACTGACATGTCAATTGACAATAGCACAAAGGATTCTAAAGCACTGGTCACTGTTCCTGCAATGAGTGTAGAGGCTCTAGCTGTTGTTCCAGTGCACCGTAAATCTAAGCGTTCTGAGATCATACAACGCCGAATTCGTCGACCTTTCTCTGTTGCTGAAGTTGAAGCACTTGTTCAAGCAGTTGAGAAACTTGGAACTGGAAGGTATGATAGCTTTTATACACAATTGAAAAACTACATGTTGGTGGTGAAGTATGAATTTGATAAGTGATGCTATCACATATGGGCTTATAAATATTTTATTCATTTGCAGGTGGCGTGATGTTAAACTGCGAGCTTTTGACAATGCCAAGCATAGAACTTACGTGGATTTGAAGGTGAGTAAGAGCATTTCCCATTTTCTCTATACAAATATGAAGTCCTATTTATTTATTTATTTTTGTAACATTTTAGCTTTAAAAAGTTACTGCTTCCGACTGTTCACATCTGTCTCATAACATTTCGAAGCAGTTATTGTTTTTAAAGAATATATTTGTAACTTCAATGAGGTGGTTTGATTGCATCCTGACCGTTGTATTCTATATCTCTTGTTTTCAAAATTCAACAAAGTTTACTTTATGGCATGGGAAGTTGGGTCCAGTGGAAGAGAGAGATAGGTTAACGTATTCAAGCAAATAGTTACTTGTAGAAGAGGTAAGTGATTAGGTGGTCTTTAATCTTTATAGCTTTTTATTAAAACTGTTTATTACAACTGTCCCAGAACCAGAAGGAATCTCAATCTCTTGAATTCCCATTTCACACGTTTACTTTTTATTCCGCATCCTTCTCTTCTCTCAAATAATTTTGGCCGTCTTGTTTGATGACTTATTATATAATAACTATAGCTACTCCTTTTGAGCTGTTTTTTCTTGTTAGTTTTGGTTAAAAAGTTTGACATCACGTGATTTGGTTGTGTTCAGGACAAATGGAAAACGCTAGTGCACACGGCAAGAATATCCCCTCAACAAAGGAGGGGAGAGCCTGTCCCACAGGAACTTTTGGATAGGGTTCTAACTGCCCATGCTTATTGGTCTCAGCAACAGGCCAAACAACAACTCAAGCCACAGCCTGAGACTTGCCTTCTCGTGTGAGTCTTGATGGGTTTAGAGAAGGATGGTCTAATTGGAATTTTTTTTTTCTTTTCTGTGTATTTTTGTTATGATTTATGTAAAAAGTTATCAAAAGGAATAGAAGAAGTATGAAGATATCCATGTTATATTCTCCCTCGCACCCCACCCTGCCGTGATTCCTTCCCTTATTGGAGAGGCTGGCGTCTGTAAATGACTGACGGAATAAGAGCTTGCTAACGGAAGGAATTTATTTGTCGACATGAATTGATCATCCATCATCTTGAAGTTGTTTAGTGATTGTGATCTTCACTTTTTGTTGTTTAGCACTTAGCTTTAATGTCAAGATTCTTACTGTTGCTTTTTCTTAATGGCAAGAAGATTGATATCTAGCACCAATAAAATTATTTTTGCTTTTGCTTTAAGCGTCACAGAATAAGCAGGAGAATACCCATCTGGCTCTGCTCTGTCCAGTGAGATAAATAAGGAGGGCGACGGCAATCAGAAGAACACAGTTCGAATTTTGTTGGAATCTTTTATTGGATCACATGTCTGTAAATCNTTAATGTCAAGATTCTTACTGTTGCTTTTTCTTAATGGCAAGAAGATTGATATCTGGCACCAATAAAATTATTTTTGCTTTTGCTTTAAGCGTCACAGAATAAGCAGGAGAATACCCATCTGGCTCTGCTCTGTCCAGTGAGATAAATAAGGATGGCATTGGCGACGACAATCAGAAGAGAACAGTTCCAATTTTGTTGGAATTTTTTTTTGGATCACATGTCTGAATCTTTATTTACATATTATTTTTTAGAAATTGAATTAGGTAATGCTATGAAACTTAATTAAGGAGGCACATGGGCTTTTCTGAAAATTAGGGCAGAGGTTGGAATCTAGCTTATTATCCACAATAATGATTGTTAATTTAAGAATTAGAGGATCTTTTTCGTCCGACTAATTGATTTCAACACTTTGATTTGCAAGGGAAACATTTTAGTATATTAAATAAATGCTGTGGCCAGAATTCCTAGTTGGGTTTACCTTCAAGAGCTGACGGATCTGTTACCACAAATAAAATTCAGCTCTTAATTGAGAAGAGTACATATCAAAATTTGCATCCTCAACCTGAAACGTTGACTTTAAAACCAGCAAATGTACCAAACATATATGTAAAAGTATTCCTCTTTCTCAGGCTCATGTCCAGAGAAGAAGATAGTTTGGTTTTCCTTAATTCCATAGTCAACAATTGTAATAGATAGAGGTGGGGACAGAAAGTTGAATTAGGCTCAACATTTCTTTTATTCATCAAATCTAAGTAAATGGGTTTATTTTTATTATATTCAGAGTTCAGACGACTCGAGTTCAGTGGTTAAACAAAATTCAAAAGAGTATTGATTAACTAAGAACTAATAAGACTTCAACTTCAAGTGAATTTAGGTCTCTTAACAGTGTTAGCTACGCTGTTGTTAAGACAAATCACCTAATGACACGCATAAGAATTAAGAAGGAAGATGAAAAACACAACTGTTACTTTGCCGATAATATGATTTATGATTTTTCACTTAATTTGACCGTATCAAGTGTTTTCACACTTAGCAATACCTAATCAGCTGCCACCTGTAAATCAGAGCGGACCCATTTCTTCAAATAACACTATAATAGTGCTCTTGCACCATCTGGGTCAGGTCATGCCATGCGGGCCCAGAGCAAAACGAGGAAGGACCGAAGGATAGGAGATGTTGCTAACTGATAAGTGACAGCCTATCAGAGAGATTCTTGAATTGATATTTTTTATTTGCTCGGTAGAAAACGCGTTTATCTTTGTTTCAATGTCTTGTCCTAAATTTTAGGCTCAATGTCAGGTACACTCTCATCGTTTTAGCTTCTCGTCACTACAGTAATTCTTATTTTTATCATGAATCAAGTTTTGAGTTGAGGTGAAAGATCTTTGTTCTTATGCTTTGATTTATTGTTTTTTGTTTTTTTGTTGTGTTTATGATTTTTTAGAAATAGGTGTTGGTTTTAGATATGTTGCAGAGGTTGTTTTGATCTTGTCTACTTTGAAGTTTTTTGTTATATTTGTTCTGGGTATTTTAAGGCGTTGATTATATAGATGATAATAGATTCAGAGTTCACTAGGTTCTCCAGGTCGATGGACGGTTTCAACTTTCCCAATTCGATTGAGTACCCAAATTTTGCTAATGGGGTTGAATTTAATTTCGATGATCCTTCTTTAGATATGAGATATATGGATAATCCATTTGTACCGTCAGAACCAGACTCTGGCTATTCTGCTCATTCATCTAGTGTGAGTTTGGAGGGAGACTCTTCTTCTCCTTCTGATGATAATGACTTTTCTGCTACTTTCAAGTACATCAACGAGATGCTTATGGAAGATGACATGGAAGAGAAGCCGTGTATGTTTCATGATCCATTGGCTCTCCAAGCCACTGAAAAAAACTTCTATGAAATAATTGGTCAGAAGTACCCTGCCTCTCCTGATCAACCCGCTCCTTATAATGTTGAGATCCCAGATGATTATTATTCAAGTTGTGTTAGTGATCATGGTAGTAACAGTAGCCCTAGTTCTGGTACTAGTCACTTGGTTGATTCGTTTTGGACTGTTGATGATGGGGAATTCCAAAACTCCTGGTTAGGAAAACCTATTCCCCGTAACTTTGTGTTTCAGTCCACTTCAAATTCTAGCTCACGGTCATCAAGGAGCTTTCAAAATGGCTTTGCTAATAATGGTATGGTGTCCCCTGTTAGTGAGCCGCTGGTTCCAAACTTGTTTAGTGAGAGTGAATTGGTATCTCAGTTCAATAAAGGGGTAGAGGAAGCTAGTAAGTTCCTTCCTAAAGATACTCAACTGGTTATTGATCTAGATAGCAAAATATTCGTCCCAGAATGGAAGGAAAAGGCTGCAAAGGTGGTAGTGAAGTCAGAGAAGGACGAGATAGAGCATTGGCCTATTGGGTTGAGGGGAAAAAAGAATCATGAGCGGGAAGATTCAGATTTAGAAGAAGAGAGGAGTAACAAACAGTCTGCCGTTGACATTGATGACACTGAGTTATCAGAGATGTTTGATAAGATTGTTGTCTGCAGAGACCGGAATAAGTTTTCAAGGTGTGCTTCTGATGATGCCTCACAAAGTAATGGAACAAATAAGATAAGGCAGCATAATGGGGAAACAAGTGGATCTAATGTTGAGAAGAATCATGCTAAGAAACATGGCAATAAGAAAGAAATGGTGGATTTGAGAACTCTTCTCATTCTATGCGCACAAGCAGTCTCGGCTGATGATCGAAAGACTGCTAGTGAACAGCTGAAGCAGATTAGACGACACTCTTCACCTTTTGGTGATGGAACTCAGAGGTTGGCTCATTGCTTTGCCAATAGCCTTGAAGCACGCCTTGCTGGCACTGGATCCCAGATCTGTACTGTTCTCTCTTCCAAAAGAAGATCAGCTCTTGATATGTTAAAAGCTTATCAAGTTTATATTGAGGCCTGTCCATTCAACAAGATTGCAATCATCTTTGCAAACCATACGTTCTTGGAATTAGCTGAGAAAGCAATGACGCTGCATATCATTGATTTTGGTATTTTGTATGGTTTCCAGTGGCCTGCTCTTATTTTCCGTCTCGCAAAAAGACCTGGTGGACCTCCCAAGCTACGCATTACTGGGATAGAGTTTCCTCAATGTGGTTTCCGGCCAGCTGAAAGAGTCCAGGAGACAGGGCGTCGCTTGGCAAAATACTGTGAGCGCTTTAATGTTCCATTTGAGTACAATGCCATAGCACAGAAATGGGAAAACATCAAAGTTGAAGACCTCAAAATTAGAACCAATGAGGTTGTTGCAGTGAATTGTTTGTTCCGGTTTAAGAATCTACTTGACGAGACAGTTGTGGTGAATAGTCCAAGGAATGCTGTTTTAAACTTAATTAAGAAGATAAAGCCAACTATTTTTATCCAAGCTGTAGTGAATGGATCCTACAATGCCCCTTTCTTTGTCACACGGTTCCGGGAGGCACTCTTCCATTATTCAGCATTGTTTGATATGTGGGACACAAATATTGACCACGAAGATCAGATGAGGTTGATGTATGAAAAAGAATTTTATGGGCGGGAGGTCATGAATGTTATAGCATGTGAGGGCTTGGAAAGGGTAGAGAGACCTGAGACATACAAACAGTGGCAGGTGCGGAACATGAGGGCTGGATTCAGACAGCTTCCATTGGATCCGAAACTCATGAAGAAGCTGAGAGGTAAGACGTCTATTTACCACAATGATTTTAGTGTTAATGAGGATGGCAACTGGATGCTGCAAGGATGGAAGGGCCGAATTGCCTATGCTTCCTCTGCATGGGTACCTGCATAGGACTTGACTTTCACAAGAGGCAAGCAATGATGTTTGTGCTATTGGGGGCAACCTGGCATTGGCATAGATGGGTTAGCTAGGAGTTGATATGAGCTTCCTTCGACAATATTGTGTTATGTTGCATTTCAGTAGACAAAATTAGGCTTGCCTTATTTTAGAATGTGTAGTACGTAATAGTAGTAATTTAACACCAATTTATGTAAGGGGATCGGAGTCTTATCATGGCTTGATGTGGCTTATTTGGGTTGCAATTGTTTTGCATATATAGAATACTTACCGCTAGGAGTTATGTTTTGATTTCTTAGTGCCTATACTTCTCTTGTATCTTTTTATCTTATCGGTTAACAGGATGTTATTTTCCTTAAACAATGCTTTTGTTTGACATTAAGAAAAATCCAACATGACCTACTTTTTCTTTTATTCAAAAGAGGAAGAAAATGATTAAAAAAAAAAAAAAAAATCCTTCTGGTGTTTCAAAGATTGTTTGTCTAAGAACTAGTTCATGAATGATAGAAATCCTGCAGTAGCTATGCTGTACTTGCTCCGCTGAGCTTAATTTCGTTTAACCAAGCCAAGTATTCAAAAATAGAATGGCATTCGGCTACCAATTTCTCCAGGTACAGTAGCTGCGGCTATGGATTGTTGTTGTCAATACTTTTAAAAACTGAAGTCTTCTTCATTAACACAATTTTCAATTCTTTTACTGCTGCTACCACTAGTTCAAGTGTTCTACCGCACTGTTACATTTTTGACTTATCGTTTACCGGCTTGATCCCCAAGCAAAGGCTGGAAAATTTTATCCTGTAATAACTTATTTATTAGTATAATTAAATTTTGGAAGTTTATTTACACAGAAAAATACTGTTTCCTTCTACTTCAATATTTTGTTTTCATTATTTTAGAAGTTGTTTACGAAGTAGAGATTTAGCACCGGTCACTTCAGATCACGTCAATGTGGCCGTTTTTCAAAGCTGAAAGTCAAAGTTGCTGCTGNGCACCAGTATTACGGTGATAGTTTTTAAAAAGCTTCTGAGACAGCAAGATGTTATCACTGATCTGGCATCCTAGGACAAAGGCTGATTGAGTAACATCGACAATTTCCCCCAAGCATCCCTTAATCCGATTGGATATAATTTTTTAGATCACCTTATACAACACATTGCAACAAGAGATAGGTCGAAAATCGGTAACACGAAGTGGCATAGCAATTTTCAGAACAAGGGCAATAATCGTGGTGTTAACCTCCTTCAGAAGCTTATCACTGGAGAAAAATCAGAGATAGCCCTAGACACTTCATCACCAACTGTGTTCCAAGCTACTTTAAAGAATTTGGCAGAGTAACCATTAGGCCCAGGTGTTTTCTCATAGCCAATGTCAAATAAGGCAGCCTTAATTTCTTCATTATTAATGGGACGAGTCATGATATTGCATTGTTCCCTAGAGATTTTCTTGACAAACAAATTATCGAACCCTTCCAAGGGCTGAACAGGGGGGCTGGTGCCAAGCAGGCCTTTATAGTGGTCCACAAAAGCATTTACCAAAAGCTTGCCTTCAACAACCAAATCAGAATCAAGCTAGATCCATTCAACTCTTCTAGAGATGTGCCTAGCCTTAAGGATTTATGGAAGAAAGCAGAATTAAGGTCACCAACACTTAGCCAATGAATTTTAGATGTTTGTTTGAGCATCCTCTCTTCATCTAACAGAGCAGTCTTAAGCGCACTGGAGAAAATGCCTTCTTGTTCTCGTAAGCAACTATCCAACGAATTAGCATCCAAGAGTAGCTGGATGTTATCCAACTCAGATCTTAGCACATTAACTTTCTGGTGAAGGTTGCCTTGTTTTCTATTGAGAGCACGAAACACAGGTTTAAGGGCTTTCAATTTTTTAACCACTGAAAACATAGAGCAGCTCCTGTAATTTACCTCCCATGCTTTCTGGACAGCCCCACTGAACCCCTTTTTATGAACCAAATAATTAAGGGGAGACTCAAAGAAAACCCACACAACAACACCAGTCATAAGCTTTTTGGAATATCAATTTTAAATAAAAAAATAGCTTTGCATACCTTCACAAGGGGGAGGAACTGAAGAAGACAGTAACGCAAGGACAACCTCAAAAATATATCACGGCCAACACCATTGGTTATTATAAACAACATTCCTAACGCATGCAGCATGACCCAACCTAGTCTCATAGAACAATCTTGCGGGAATGAGGAGGTTCAGAGGCCCAGACGGGTGCTAGTAATCATACCAAAGAGACACATACCACCTATCCCCTAAAGTAGATCTAATATGTTTTCGGACTTTGTCCTTTAAAGCAAGTAACTTTCTCCAACACCAAGTAGCATCCCAGGGCACTCTAACACTCCAAAAGCTTTTACCTTTCAACCTATAAGAACAAACCCACTTGACCCAAAGGAAGTCTTTGTTGGTAACAATCATGGTTGTCAAGTTGTATATCATATCGTATATCGTAGGATACGCCTTTTTAAAAAAAAAATTAATAAAAAAATAAAAAATTTCTAAAAATTAATATCATCCCCATGATTAATTAACGAATTTTGTGGTACTATTGGCTTTAAATTATGGTATTACATTATCAAAATTAATCACAAAATTAAGAATATATATCATTTCCTCTTAATCATTCATATCATTTCCAAGATCAATGTCAAAATTTATATCTCCACTTGTGTTATTATTATCATGCAAAATGGGCAACACATCTTTCTTTTCACTTTCTCCATGCAAAATGGGTAAATTTAGGTAAGTTTTAGTGAATTGGGTTAGGTGACTCGGATTTGATCGGAAAAGTTTTTTGGGCCTTTGGCCCAAATTAATAAAATTGTATTGATATTTTTAAAGATACGCACGGATACGTATCATATAGTATGATACATATCAATGTATCGAAAAGTTTATGATACACTCTCTGATACATATCGCTGGCGACCCGTATTGAATTGTATCGTAGGACATGTATCGTATATCGTAGAATACTAACAATCATGGTAACAATATTCCACAGGTGGTAAGACATAAGCGCAATATTTTTTCTCTTAAAAGGCTTGATTCCAAGACCACCTTCTTTCTTCGGGCAATAGATATCTTTCCAAGCAACTCGACACTCCCACTTACTCATCTCATTGCCAGTCAAAAGGAAGGAGTGCATCATTTTTTCAATAGAAGGAGTGACAGAGCTTGGGAGATTGAAAACTCCAGCCCAGTAAACGTGAAGGGATGAAAGAACAGAAACAATGAGTTACAACCTTCTAGAACATGAGAGACTTTTGTTCTTCCAAGAACTTAAACACTGTTCCACTTTCTCAATGAAAGGCATGCAATCTCGATGAAGCAACTTAAAGGTAATCAAGGGGACACCCAAGTACTTGACAGACAACTTTCCCTCTAGGAACCTCATAATATGATTAATGGAGGTTCTAGACTCATCTGGGACATTGCAAAAAAACACAGCACTCTTGGATAAGTTGGGAACCAATCCAGATAACTCAGAGAATATCATGAGAGCCTATTTCAACACCTGAACAGATATGGTATTCCCAAAACAAAACATGAAAAGATCATCTACAAAGCATATGTGGCTGATTTTCTGCTTATCACACCGGAAGTGATACCGAAAGCCCTCTCTTTCATCAATTTTCTTCTCAATGAACAGAGAAAGAACCTGCATAACCAAAGTAAAAAGGTAAGGGGAAAGGGGATCACCTTGCCTCAGACCCTTTTACTGGGAAAGAAAATGTGAAGTTCCCCATTTATAGAAATAGAGAAGGAAGGGGAAGTAACACAAGCACTGATCCACTTAATCATTTTATTTGGAAATCCAAACCCTCTCAGAGAGCGTAAATAATTGAGAAAAAAAAAAACAAGAAAGGGGAAAACCCTAAGTTTGCAAACCCTGGACAGACCCAAGGGCGAAGCAACACAAAACAACGACAACGCATGCCCAGACGATCCAAGCCTGTACAAAAGAAGATATTATATACACTCAAAAGAATCAAGGCGGACGCCCGAAAAAAGTAGGGATAGCCCTACTAGTCAAAATGAACGAAATCCTAAAAACAAAAACATCGTAATCCTAATCAACCTACTAACAGGATCCCTACATACACACCAACCCTATCAACCCACCATAACACCTCATCCCATCTCCTCGGCCTAGTTATGAGAGTCTTGCACTAACCCTAATGCAACCATTGGGAGGTCCCATTCAGACATAAATCAATGGACATAAAGGCTATCCTTAAAGCTGAAGGGATTAGAGTCGTAGCCAAACTTCTCCCACAATAATAGACTCCACTCTCGCTTCTACTACTATTTTAGATGCGAAAGTTCCTTTCTTGCAAAAAAAAAAAAAAATCAGGCACGTAGGATTATTTCCAAAACAGAGAGGACTTTTACCTTTCAAATTAAAAGCACACCAAGCAATATTTTCTTGCCAACTACCACGCGAAGGAAAAAACTTCCTTTAGCTTGGACTGCTTCCAGACTTTTGAGCATACTTGCGGAACAATAGGTGGTCATGAGTCTCCATAACCGTGCTACAAAGTTTGCAATAGTTCATCACCAATGCTCCAATGTCTCATTTCCTGGGTGAGAAGTTTGGACTTGAAAGCCAACCAAATAAAGGAATGCCTTGGTATACAAAAGCTATTCCAATCAGATTACACCATGGCCCACTTGATTAGCAACGGAAGACCATCCAACACCTGCTTAGTGGAAAACTTACTCTTTTACCATCTCTACTCTGCCATATTACGATGTAGAATTTATAAATTAATAAAATACCCTTTATGTTTGTTTTTTTATAAAATACCCCTATAATAAAACATTAAAAGTTAACAAAAATACCCCTAACCCACCCTCAAACACCTCCAGCCAGCGACCACCACCGGAGGTGGTCGGAGTTGCCGTATGGGCGCATGACCGGTTGGATCTTGCCGGTCATGCGTCGCTATGGCCTTTTCCGGTCAGATCCACGATGGATCTGGCCAGAAAAGGCCAGATCTACAGTCAGATCTGGCCGTCAACGGCCAGATCTGGCCGTATTTGCTCTCAACGACGGCCGACAAACGGTTGTCGTTGATGGTCAACGACGACCGTTTGTTGGCCGTCGTGACCGAGTGTTACAGCCAGATCTTTGGCCTTAGATCTGGCCTTTTCTGGCCAGATCTACGGTGGATCTGGCCGAAAAAGGCTAGATCGGCGTACTACCGGCCAGATTCAGCCGGTAATACACTATCCTACTAGATTTTAGCCATTTTCCGATGGTGGTGGCCAGAATCTGATAAATATGGATTATTGGGATGTTTTTGTAATTTTAAAAAAAATATTTAGGAGTATT